CTTTTGAGTAATCATAATTTCCAATTAATCGAATAATTGAGTTATTTACTTTATGATTAATTAAAATTTTGAGTAATCAATTAATCGCACAGCCCTAATTTCAATTAAATTTGGAATATAGATATAATATTCTAACATATAAAATATTTTTTGGACTTGCCACCTCTTTCAAAAAAAACCCGATTAATTAACAAGTTTAACAAAATATTAGCAAGCGAAAGCGGTTCAGCAACTATATATTTCGGAAGTATTTTGTAATAGGGTTGCCGCCTGTTAAAAAAGTTTAAATCAATTCTTTGAAAAAGTTTAAACGAAATATTTTAATGTGGGTATCAAACGAGAATGCCTTATTGTAGAAATATTTTTAGAGAGTTGCCATCTTTTCAAAAAGTTAAAATCAATTTAAATAACAGGTTAAACAATTTTTTTCTGCGTAATTTTGCAGAACTTTCTTTTTCCATCTTAGGAACTCTAGAACATTTGAAAATCTACTCTGAATACTTTTAATTTTTATTTTTTTCACACATTCAACTTTTTCGACTTTTTTTCGACAATTTACGCGTTTTGCATTTTTTTTCGACCTTATTCATTTCGAAAGCATACGATTTCGACATTTTGCGTTTCGGTTAAACATTATTTAAAAAATTTTTAAATTTCGACATTTCTCTTTCGACATTTTTATTTTCGACTTATCGTACGGATCCCGTAATTGATTAATGGAACGAATGAACTTACTCGAGTAATCGAATAATCGCACATGCCTAGTATGTACATATCGTTGCCTTAATATAAAAAGACCCTATCTAAAATGTTTATGTTTTTACAGAGTAGTCAAAAATCTTAATAAAAAAAACTAAAGTTCTGAAGTTGGAATTTCCAGGGACCGAACATAACAGTTATTGATGAAAACTGTCATGGAAAAATTCACTATGAAGGAAATGTTCTACAACTAAGTGAAACATACAAATCGATTTCGTTTTGCACCGAGACTCAAATTTGAAAATAAATTTTTATTTGCAATTTTTATGCAAAATTTAAAAAATAACAATTATATTTGGTTTTTATATTATAAATCCAAAATAACAATTATTTTATATTATATTATATTATTATATTATATTATTTTATATTTATATTATATGGCTTAGATAACAGTTATTGAAGAGTTTTATTTATAAAAGTCATCAATAAAAATCAGTCAGTGGCGTTTACTTTTAAAAGTCATTAATATAAATCAGTGACCGACTTCTATTTTTGAAATCAATCATATAAAAGTCATTAACATTTTTCGCAGTTAAGGTGTTGGAAAACAAAAGTTTACTACGACTTATTCAAATGACTTTTATAAGTATGATTGAAAAAATAAAGATCAGTGACTGATTTTTATTTATGACTTTTATAAATAAAAGTCTTCGATAACTGTTATTTAAGATATATAATTTAATAATCAAAAATAACTGTTATTTGCAGATTATTTAAATAAAAATCAAAAATAATTGTTATTTTCGATTTATAAAATAAAACTCAGAAATAACGGTTACTTAAATAGTAATTAAATAAAAGTGAAAAAATAATTGTTAAAGAGTGATTTTTTTAATAAAAGTTGTAACTGTTACGGTCCCTGGGAATTTCTTTAAAATCCTGGGTTTAATAAATACGAACACTAGTTTATTGATGTATGCGGTTGTTTTAAATTCTGTTAGGCCTTTAGTGAGTAATCTACCGACCATTGCACAAAGCTAATTTGGAAAGAGAATGAGTTATTGCCTTTCTATATAAAGGTAAGATTNTTTATTTTTCCATGGACATTGTCATTGCCAAGTTTTTGGCTTTTTCGATAGCATCATTTATATCCCCGACCATATAAAAGGCAATTTCCGGCAATTCATCCAACTCTCCATCGAGAAGGCGTTTGAAACCTTCTACAGTTTTTGCAATGGATACCATTTTCCCTGAATGTCCCGTAAAAACTTCTGCGACTTGGAATGGTTGTGATAGAAAACGTTGAATTTTGCGTGCCCGAGCTACAGTTAACTTATCATCTTCAGAGAGTTCATCCATTCCAAGAATGGCAATGATATCCTATAACAAACGGCTTTAGTAGCAAACTCAAATAAACAAATTCCTTAAGAACCTGTAGGGATTTATATGATTGTAGTGTCTTTTGTACTCCTCTAGCTACATTATAGTGATCATCGCCTACTATGGATGGATCCATTATCCGTGAAGAGGAATCTAGAGGATCCACTGCAGGGTAAATTCCTAACTCGGCAATAGCTCGTGACAATACTGTAGTGGCATCCAAGTGTGCAAAGGTAGCAGCGGGTGCTGGATCAGTGAGATCATCAGCTGGCACATACACGGCTTGTACGGAAGTAATAGACCCGTTCTTCGTACTAGTAATACGTTCTTGCATGGAACCTAGTAAAGTTAAGATGATGTCCGCAAATATTTTTTTATGAAAGAGCGTCGCTTCTCACCCATGTCTGTACCCAAGGTTGGTTGATACCCAACAGCGGACGGTATGCGTCCCAGTAAAGCAGAAACTTCAGCACCCGCCTGAGTAAAACGGTAAATATTATCAATAAATAGCAGCACGTCTTGGCCATCCATGTCGCGGAAATATTCGGCTAAGGTTAGGCCAGTTAATACGACACGCGATCGTGCTCCAGGTGGTTCATTCATTTGTCCATATACCAGAGCCACTTTTGAACTGTCATCCTCTATTGAAATCACCTTGGACTCAATCATTTCCATGTATAGGTCGTTACCTTCCCGAGTACGCTCACCAGCGCCTACAAATACGGAATACCCTCCATGTTTCTTAGCGACGTTGTTGATTAACTCCATGATGAGTACTGTCTTCCCTACACCAGCACCTCCGAACAAACCGATTTTCCCTCCCTTTACATATGGCGCCAAGAGATCAATAACCTTGATGAACAAACATGTTAAGTAAAAAAAGAAAAACATTTTTAAGGTTTGAAGAGTTATTGATTAACCTTAATTCCGGTTTCCATTAATGTGGGATTTACATTTAACTCTATCATTTCCGGTGGGTCTGCATGTATAAATGAATGAAAATCAGACTGAATAGGACCACGTTCATCAATTGGATCGCCAACAACATTCATGATACGTCCTAAGCACGCTTTTCCCACAGGAACTCTTATGGGATATCCTGTGTCCAATACCTTTTGGCCACGATGCAGTCCTTCTGTGCTGTCCATTGCGACTGATCGAACGGTACCGTCTCCAAGGTGATGAAACACCTAAGAGAATGAGAAAAGCCTTTCCAGTCTGTTGATACATCTATACTGTACAATACTTCTAAAACTAATTTTCCGCCAGGATATTCTGGTACAACCATTGCATTCATAACTTCGGGGACGTTATTTTCAAAAATTACATCCACTACTGGTCCAATGATAGCAGAAATGTATCCAACAGCCCCGGGTTTGGAACGTATTCCTTTTATTTTTTGTTTGTTTCTGAAATCGTTTGAAGAGTTCTCCTCTTTTTCAGTCATTTGCAGTCCCTCTTCCACATCTTTATTTTTATTTTCTGCTTTCACATTTTCACACCCGTGGTCATTCCTTTCATCATGAGCATCGTCATTTACTTAAGGAAAAATAGTCTGATTTGTGAAAGCGTTTGAAGGTGAATTACTTACCAGATCCGGAAAATTCTCGCTTAATGGTTGCCTTAATACCAGGTTCTCTGAACATTTGCATATTAAAACATTTTCCATATTGAGAAGTTTGAAAGGATAGGCTCTTGGAAACTTTGTAGGAATTAAGTAAAATTTAATTAAAAATAATTTTATAGAATTTAAATTGTGACTTACCAACAGCGGGGCGTAAAAAATTTATCCAAAGACAAGCCATAATTAGATTTGATAAAGTAAAATCATGGAATATTGTTTGTCGTTTACGGACGGTTATTTTTTTCAAATATTAGTTGACAGAAAAATATATGTACATTTGGTCGATTATATGACTGGCACCGTTACATTCGTACGCATTTTTTCTACAGTATGAATCAATTGCCTATTAAATCGTCGCTGGAATAAAGAAACATTGTAAATGCCACATACACTATTATTCGATAATCGTACCATTGGATAGACATATCTTTAATCTATTAGAAAAATCTTTAGTTTTCTTAAATATCTTTTTGGATCACGAACTTATTCGCGGAAAACGAAATTTTATAACAGTGAAGGTACTAAAATTGTTTACAAATAGTGTATAGTGCACTTGGACTATTATTAAGAAAATCCCAAAGAAATTCTTGTAATATTAAAATAACGTTAGAGTAGGTTAAATACTTCGTTATATTGCTGCAAACTTTCACAGGGAGCTTTAAAATGTGAATAATAAAATAGTGTAATATCGACATACATCAATTAGTTTTTCTGAGTTTGCAACCAATATAAAATAGTGTACAATGATTTCATATAAAAATGTTCAGAGTACTGATTTTATCAGTACAGTACTGATTTTTCAACTCTTGTACTGATTTTATTCATTTCTTCAATCAGTACGCTAATGTCCTGGTTTTTCAAAATTTGTACTGATTTGTACTGAATTCTCTATTCAAACCAAATACTTTAGTATTTTCTTACGGTTTTTACATAACGTTGGAACTTCCTTAAACTGTACTGTAAAAAATAAGAAGAAAATAATTTAATTGTAGTTGACATGTTTTAGATAATGTTTGATATGCCCAAGAAATAAATACAACAAAAAGATCAATCGTTTTATGGGCATATCGCCGGGTCGTTACGTACCAGTTGCGATAATATGATGGAGCTTAATTTATTTAAAAAGAAGGCTGACGTTTTTTTGTCGAGTGTTGTTAGTTATCTCGAAAATAACTTTCAGTTTAATAACAATAAATTTCAATGTTCGAATGGCTTTTGCCTATAACTTACAACTCCTATTTCTCAATTTACTGACTTTGTAAAAGGGTTTTGCATACAGGACATAGAGTTAGATACTCTTTTTAGCGAATTCTTACAGCCCAGTTATGCATACTTGCACTGCTTTACCATTTTTACGTAAAAATCAAAACCCAACATGTTAAGTGCTATGCGTTGGGTAACCGCTTACACGCAAAGCCCATTTAACAGATTCTTATGTGACAACTCTCATGCAAAGCTAAGTATGCATAACTGGGCTAATAGTTTTCACAGTTTTTGCGTAGTTGAAAAATTATTTAACCCTTCGGAGGGCGCGCTTTGAAAGTTACACGAGAGGGCGCGCCGCGGCAATTCAGCCGCAAGGTGTATTTCAAAGGTTGACTGCTTTTTTTTTTATTTATGTCGAAAAAGCATTCAAATAAAATATTTGAATAATTTGTGTTTATACTGACACATATTATAACCATTTATTTTTTAAATTTTTATGCGTTGCCGGCCGCTGTGGTGTAGTGGTAAGCAGTGCGCGCTTCCACTCCACAACGCCTGGGTTCAAACCCTGGTCAAAGCAACATCGCAAAAATATAGAAAAAAGGTTTTTTCTTAACAGCGGTCGTCCCTCGGCAGGCAATGGCAAACCTCCGAGTGTATTTCTGCCATGAAAAACAGCTTCTCATAAAAATAAAATCGCCGTTCGGAGTCGGCGTAAAACTGTAGGTCCCTCCGCTTTGTGTGACAACATCAAGGCGCACGCCACAAATCGGAGGAGAAGCTCGGCCAAACACTAACATATGTGTACGCGCCAATCGATTATTATTATGCGTTGTTGTTGTAGCGGCTACAACAACCCCGCCCAGATCGGCTGATATCTCAGTCGTTGTCGTCGAGTTCCACTAACGGCAGCCCCAAGAAGCGTGCAGCCTCTATGGGGTCGGTCCATAGGGACGACGCCGTTAGGGTTGTGGGGTTTTCCGGGCATGCGAAGAGATGTTTCGAGTCGTGAGGGGTCTCTCCGCATACCGGACACTCGTTCGGGACATCCGCATTTAACCTACTCAGGTAGGAATTTAGCCTGCTGCAGTTGTCAGAGCGAAGTTGGTCTATTGATGTCCTGGTCTCCCGAGGCAGATGGAGCTCCATCGCGTCAATGTCCGGTGTTTGTGTGCCTAGAACGGCATTCACAGGTCTTGAGTCTGCATAACTCGAGACTGCGTCCCTGTGAATGCCGTTTTTATGCGTCTACAACAGTGGTGTTGGTACATTCTACACATTGTGAAATATGCTTGCAATGTTTTCTGCAAACATTTTTGTTACAATTAATATGTACAACAAATTTTTGAATTATTATTCCTGGTACATATTCCTTGTATCAATTTCCGTAGCGTAGCTGGTTCGCTTCTATATAAGTTTAATAACAAACCAAATTTGACAAGGGATGACGGAAATTCGTTCTAAAATACAACATTTAAAAACATCATTTTTCTCTAAAACCTAAGAAAATGAATATCATAATAGTTACAATGTGTACGCAAAGTACAATCTTAAGTATAATTTTAAAATTACACATGACAAAATACTTAAAAAATAACAATTTTGATTTAGACCCTTATCACAAACTCACTTTTCCAACTATCTTCAAAAAATTTGGCAAGTTCAATTAAAATTTTTTTGGTACACGGAAGGGCACGACGCGGCAACTCAGCCACATATATGAGGCACCAACTTTCAAATACAAATTTCAACTAAACTATATAACGCAGAGAGTAACATCTAACTGTGAACCATTCTGCATCTCAAAACTTACAAAGTCACTAAGCTGTAGTGGCCGGCTACTAAAATTTGTATTTGAAAACCACAAATTACAATTTTTGCGGCTAATTTGCCGCGGCGCGCCCTCCGCAGGGTTAAGCCATGAGGAAATATAGATGAACTCCTTAAAAAGCGATACTTTTTCACAGTATGAGATCTTAAGAATAAGATTTGTTTCCTGGCGCAAAGAGAGAAACCGGCTTCTAATTAAAATTTTTGAAAGTGAACTTCAAATTAAAAGCAATTTTAAATGAAATGTATAGAATTCTTTGACATTTAAACACTGAAAATGGGAATGATCTCATTATTGCTATTCAAAAAGTCACAAATAAAAAATAATTTATTGGCTCCTGTGTATAATGAAATGTACACTCATGTTAAAATGAATAACACTTTTATTTTTTATGAACTATATTTTATTTATATACCAAAATTTACTTTAGAAATAATATTTTTAAAATACACTGAAGAAATACAATAATTAACTTTTATGAAGGATTCCTCCTTAGACATCAATTATATAAATAGGCAATCATGTTTCCTTTACACCACTTTTACGGCTAAACTATACTTCTAAGGTATAAACAATTATGTATCATTAGAAAGGTATTTTGATGCTGATGTGCAGACAATTGGTTTAACATAAAACGAAAAAATCATGGTTTGGGGCGAAAAGGCCTCCTAAATGTTTGCTTTAATATTGATACTGAATTGAAGAAATCTGCTAAGCAGCAGATGAAGATTCATGCAAGGAAGAAGGTAAAGTTGCATGATTCAATAATACAAGGTTCTATAAACTGACAGTTGTCTCTCTCGCACCGCTCCCTTAGCAGTGGCACCGTGTTGCTTCTTTGCAAATTTACTTCTAGAAAGTGTAGCTTTGCTGTGAAGAAATAGTAGTATAAGCTTTTGTGCAGCATGTTTATTTGTATATGCATATGAAGCACATTTAACTGATGAAAACATAAATAGTTTTTAAATTGGATGTTTACATAAATCTCATAGTAGTCTTATTTTAATTTTGAGTCCTTTTGCAGTTTTTGTACAGCTAAATAGCACATAGATTACGTAATTCACGTAAATATATTAATGTTTCATTCAATATTTCATTTAAAATGCCAGATTTCCTGCAAATACATTAGAATTTACAAAGATAAATTCACTACTAATTGCGTACCTTGCGTACTTTTCTGCTACCATTTTCGTAACAAGAGATTGCATTCTTCTACTTTCTCTGTCCTTCGTAAATGCAACCTATTGTAAGGTAGTGTCAGACCGCGGCTGTCAATAATTATCTAACCTTGTATTATTGAATCATGGTAAAGTTGAATATGTAGAAGAAGAAAGGGATAAAGACAAAGATTAGAGTAGAAGTACAGAAACCTAAATATAAAGACAAAGAGGAAGGAAAATTTAACAAACTAACCTAATAACAATGGTGGCAGTGAATACGTACAGTGACGAGCAAAACTGTAACATGGTGTAACGCTTTTTATATCAGCCGCCGCTATCTTTCCAAGGTCTAGCGACATTTTGTATATTCTTATTGGTACACCTGTACTTCCCATCTCATAACGAATTGAAGTGAATCCAACAACAATAAAAAACCAGCAGACAAAAACGTAAATTAAGGCATATGTTACAGTTTTGCACTTATATATTTTTTTATAACTTTTTGACAATTTTCACGAAAAAAAAGAATTGTTAACACAATTGGATACTATTTGGCATACCTTATTTGTATCTCTGTAAAAATTCTGGAGGTATAGCTTCCCATATATCCTTGGTTTGCTTTCACAGCTCATGTACTCCATTGGACGCGCTTTTATTCGATTTCGCAAATTTTCGACGAGATTCATATCCGCGGATTGAGGGGGTCATTTGAAATTAGCAAATTTTTGCTTTTGCATCCAGTCTTTGCGAACATATGCAGTATGTTTTGGGTGAGCAGAACCTCTCATTTTGTTGAAATATGAACAGATACTGTTCCTTACGCATAATGCGTACTAACGGACCAACAACATTTTTGAAATACAACTCCAAACTATTATTGACCGACGACTGTGATTCACAGTTTGCCTTATATGATGCGCTTAGGCTTAATTTGGGTATTTGATCCAATACCATGCTCGGCCATCTGATTGAAAGCGATTAATT